AAAAAAAAAAAAAAAAAGAAAAAAAAAAACCAAACCAGAAACCCACAGCTGCTTGGACAGGCGAGATCGTGATTGTCTTGCCAAAGTCTGAAAAGCGATGCCCGTTAGTGGGAGACGGGTTAAATAAATGATGGCGTGCCGGGAATACTAGAGAGTCTATAGTCGATGGCTGAGGCTGACCTGTAGGTACTGAGGTGGGAGCATCCCTGTGGTGAGTGCGAGACTCAGGGTGCAGGACAGTCGGGCGTGTGGTGTGTTTGTGTAGAAGAAGGTGTGAGTGTGTGAACACATGTGCACAGTCATGTACGCATTAAATGTCTCTGGAAGAATGTACAAGAATCTGGTGACAACAGTTGCCAGCAAGGGGGCCTGTTTGTCTTGATCTGTTTGACATTTTGACAGTTGCTCGTATGCCATGTCATCCTTTCACCCACCTCGATGACAGCAAAGCCAGCCCAGAGTTTTGTTTTGTTTTTCCATCACGATTCAGGTCTATTTCGGAAGATTTGTTGTTTGTAAACAAAACATCGTGTTTATTTCCTGCCACGTCTTGCATTTGGCTAACATAGAATGTAGAATCTATTATTTTAATAGAACTATCCTGTATTGTGGAAAACGAGATATGCACGAAGATATAAATTTAGGTATTTTCTATTAAAAATTTTAAGTGGGGAATGATTTGGTCGATTATGGTGTGTACATTCACTCATTCATTAAAAGTGTTTATTGGGTGCTTCTTGTGGGCAACGGTCTTGAGTAGACAGTTATGTAGTCATTAGAAGTGATGATTATGAAACCAGTGGAAAAATGATTATGCAGTGTAGAGTTAAATGGGGAAAATAAACAGGATGCAAATGGCATATGCGACATGATTATGGTACTGAAAGCAAAAAGGGCTAAGAGAAGTACACCAGATAGTGACAGTGGTTGCCTTAGAGTAATATCTTCTCTTTTTTAAGAATTTTTGTATTGTGACTATAGTATCTATATGTAATATGTTACATTAAACATGCCTAAAATTCATATTTTAATAGGTCCTTATTTTTTCCAATAATTTTAGTAAGAGAAAATTGGCTAATATAAATATCCTGTGTTTCAAGTTTGTGGAAGAAACCTGCCTTCAACCTTTTCATCTAGATAACTATACATTTCTGTCATTTCAATTTTAATTTTAATAACTTTTATAATAGGGCACCCACCTGTTGGGTAGGTGAGTTTTATTATTTTTATTTTATAGATGATGAGGTTGAGGCTCATAGGGTAACTTGCTGGTATTAGTGAGCACCTGCCAGATGTCCAGACATTTCTGTTGGACTATAGTGCCATGAGTTTTTTGATACATCCTACTCTGTGAAGCCTACCTTTATCTTTATGTATCTCGGATGCAGTTTGCTGTTTACAAAAGGGAAAAATCCATTTCTCTTTTAAAGTGAGTTCAGATATGCCTTTAAAAGTTTTCTTATAGTCTTTTTTTCATAGTTGTGTAATTCCATCATATTGGTAATCTCATGGTCCCTGTAATAATCTTCCTGTTCTTTAGCATTTGGGTTACTTTCAGTTTTTACACTTAGAAAGATTATTGCTATATACTTTTGTCTTATTTTAATATTGAAGACTGTTCTGTAAATATTAATATATACCTGTATATATATAAGAGTATGCATGAAAAAATTTGCTTTCTAATTTTTCTGAAGAGACCAGCATATTAAATCACTGGGGATATTATTAAAGTTGGAAGGTCTGATGCAGTCTGATTGCAGTGAGGACCTTAATATATGATGTCATAGAAACTATTGACTATCCCGAATTAAATGTAACCACTTTGATATATTTGATTTTTTAAAATTAAATTTTACTTTTAATTTGTGTTGTATGTATAGTATGTCAGAGTAGTAAATGTGAAGTTATGTACTCATTTCTCCAATGTGAATGTTCTAGAATTTTAGCCTGAACACTCATATTTTCTAAAATAACACTTTGAATTTAAAAAAGAAAAAAGTTCAGCCTGCTAAAATTAACACACTACTTATTTTTTTAGGCATGTGGGCACATTCCATGACAGTACAGGATTATCAGGATCTTATAGACCGAGGATGGCGAAGGTAAAGCTCCTTAACGCAGAAGCCCTCTTGCTATTACTCAGGTGGTTCTTATGATTAAAAAAGAGGGTATGTCTTTAAAATGTTTTCCTGTTGGAAAGAAGTTTAAAAACATTTTTGTTATATTCTTGTGTATAGTGATTTTGTTCTCTCTCTTTTAAAAAATGTTTATTAGGATAATTTAAAACATCCACAAAAACAAAGAGTACACTGTGATGAACCTTATATACTTATTGCTAAGCTTCAACAGTTCCTAATATCCTGCCGGTCCCATTTCATTGGTGCTCCTTCTCCTCTCCACTCTGAGTACTTTACAGCAAATTACATCTGTGCATTTTTATTGCAGATACCATATCAATATGCCCATAATAAGTATGTATCTTTTTTTTTTTTTTGAGACAGAGTCCAGCTCTGTTGCCCTGGCTAGAGTGCCGTAGCGTCAGCCTAGCTCACAGCAACCTCAAACTCCTGGGCTCAAGCGATCCTCCTGCCTCAGCCTCCCAAGTAGCTGGGACTACAGGCATGCGCCACCATGCCTGGCTAATTTTTTCTCTCTCTACATATTTTTAGTTGTCCAGATAATTTCTTTCTATTTTTAGTAGAGACGGGGGGTCTCGCTCTTGCTCAGGCTGGTCTCGAACTCCTGACCTTGAGCGATCCACCCGCCTTGGACTCCCGGAGTGCTAGGATTACAGGCGTGAACCACCGCGCCCGGCCATAAGTATGTATCTTTAAGAGAGAAGTATTCTTTTTTCCTTTCTAATGTATTCACGATACCATTATTATACCTTACAAAATTAATGATAACTCTTAGATACTAGCTGTTATCCACTTTTGATGATATTTTCCAGATTGTCTCAAAAATTTCTTTTTTAATAGTTGGTTTATTTGAATTAGGATTCCATTAAGGTCCACACATTGCCTTTTTGGATAGTTATTTTTATGCAGATGATTTTTAAGTAACTCTTAGGTAAAGTTCCTCATGCAAATATAAGTAATGTTAAATACTCTATGCCAATACCCTTCAATAGACTTGGGATTGTGAGCTCCAGCTGAAGCATCACAACTTTCCTTAAGCTTAATAATGAGACTCAAAAGGTAGACATAGCTAAGATGTTGAAGGACTTCATTTGCCATGATAAGGAACTCTTTTACTTAAAAGGTAGAAGGGAGCCATTGAAGGAATTTATGTAAGGAGGAAATCCAGTGGAGTTTGTTTTGGGAAAGATCGTTCAGATAGTAGAGAGATGTTTGAGGGGGTGGTCATGGAGGCAGGAAGATGAGTTCCAGAGGTTATTGCACTATCCACATGTGAGATGATGAGGACTGGCTTCTTAGTGGCAATGCTAATAGAGGAGGGGACAAATTTAAGATAAGTTTTAGAGGTGGAAAGCTTGCTGACAGGATATACAGGTGAATTAGAAGAAGTCTAAAAAGACTCCCAGGTTTCTGGCTTGAGAGCTGAATGAATGGTTCTGTTATTACCATCGTTGTGGATTGCATGGAAAGCATCAGGTTAGTTTTTGGGTGCTTTGTGTGGTACATGTGGAATACCCAAGTGTGGCTGTCACAGGTAGCAGCATACATCATTCCCACAGTATTGTGGGCAGTTTTCTCTCATTGCTCTGTAGTATTGAGGATGGTGGCAGGTGAAGGCAGGGAAGGGATTCTAGATGCTGTTGTGAGGGTAGTTGAGATGATTAGCCTTAGAGCAGTGATCCTCAGCCTTTTTGGCACTAGGGACTGGTTTCTTAGAAGACAATTTTTCCACGGATGGGAGGTGGGGGTGGGTGGGAGGCGGACCTCAGGCAGTGATATGAGCACTGGGGAGCGCGATAAATACAGATGAAGCTTCGCTCACTCACCTGCCACCCACCTCCTGCTGTGTGCCCCTCCTTTCCTAAGTTTCATGGCAGACAATTTTTTTTGAGGGGGGGGTGGGGCCAGCAGAGCTCTAGGGCCTAGTCCCTAACAGGCTGCAGACTGGGGGTTGGGGACCGCAGCCTCAGAGGACATAAATAAAACTTGAGGAACTAAAAGACTGGGTTCTATTCGTACTTTGAAGATTGTTTAGCTTATGAAGAGTAATTAAAACTAAATGCATTTTTACACTATTGATTAAATTTTTTACCCTGAGTTCATTTAGTGCTCCTTTACTAATCTAGTTTGGTATATGTGAAAAATAAATAAGAAATTAACAAAGTATTTTTGTAATTTTAGAAGTGGAAAATATGTGTACAAACCTGTCATGAATCGAACATGTTGTCCTCAGTATACAATAAGGTAAGAATTTTAATTAGTAGAAATAGGATCTATAATATGAAGATTACGTATAATTTTTTAGTAGTCTCTTGTGCTTTTTAAAATGTTAATTTCCACCCCACGAAGGCATTCTTTTTAAGCAAAAGTAAATAAGTTATGTCTTTTCTTCGTACTGGTGCTATATTTGTGTGCTCATCAAACCTTTTAATAATACTGTTTAATTGGTTGGATATAAATATGTGAAAACATACCTTCTTAGCCATCTCATCTATAAATTCCATGAAATATTGGGAAAATATTGGTAAATGTTCAAATTACCTTTAGATGTCAAATTTTTGTAGGACTTAGGATTTTCTGCATTCTGGGGTATTCCTTGACACTGCTTGCATTCAAGCAATACTACAGGAGCAATTAGTTGTTAAGAGTAGGGCTTAAACTTAATCTGCCACTTGCACATTCAGAGTTCAGTTTTCTTAAATGGAAAACTTAAACTAAAAAGTCTATTTTTCCTACAGAGTGTTTGTTGGATTTTTCATAATCTTTTGGGTTTTCTACGCATGTCCCCCACCCATCCTAACATAGAAGAATTTTCTCTACTTTTTTGGCTATTATGGTCATCATTTTCTTTTTCTTCATCTTTGTTTTTTTTTTTTTGATAGAAAATATGGAGAGTACATTAACATTTTGAAGTATGTATTTGTTTCCAGTTTCAATGTGTACATGTACTCTAAATAAGAAAATCAGACCCAGTCCTATCCATCACCTTTTTGTCTGGTCTGCACTGCTATTTCCCTTAGTTGCTCTTGTTACAGACCATTTTCAGAATGTGAAGGAAGTTATAGCCTCTCTCTGCCCTTCTCCATCCCACCAAAGGCATATAATCACAAATACCTAACACTTTGCATGTTAATTTTAGGATGATCACAGACTTCCAGAGGTCCACTGATCCCTAAATAAGAGCCTTTCTCTTACCTAACTGGATATCAGATTGGAAGATGACAAGGAGAAAAGATGAGTGTCTGGTTTGCTGACATCATCTTGTTACATGAAGGATAGAATGACAGAGTAGCTTGTGTTGTCCTCTTCCAGCTTTTGTGGTTATGAAGAGAAGACATTTTCTAAGGCAGAAGTCATTTTCCTTCAAATAGCAATTGGATTATGGACAGAATTCTGTTAAGTTTTAAGTTGGTTGTCTTGAACCCTGAGAATCTTTATGATTATAAAAGGCTGATTTCAGTTGGTTACGGAAGAGATAAAGCATTCAAAATATATCTGGTGCCTCTTATATGCAAAGCACTATTCTAGGTATACTGCCTTTCTAAAAGGGATTCAATTTATATTGCAAAACAAAGTAGTTATAAAATGTGATTTTTGCATTTAACATGGAATCATAGTTTTCTGAATTGTTACTCTTTACACAATTTCATTATATATCTTGTGGAATCATTTTCAAAGTTTACTCTTCTGGTTATTTTACTTCATGTACTACAGTAGTTACACTGAGAATTTATATACAGGAAAGGAGGTTATAGCCTACAACTTAGCTTCTTGTTAGGCAGAAGTTGGGGTCTGTGCAGTCTGTGAGCATAAATGAAGATGAACTTCTCTGGCTATGAATTTTTTTTTCATATCAGAATTATACATGCTCATAGTTCACAGTGTCAAATAGTTCCATAAAGCTCATTGTGGGAAATAGCAGTCTCCAAACTCCCCTTTTCTGTTACCTGTTTCCCAGTGGCAGTCACCTTTCAATGTTTTAACTGATTGTTTTGGTTTTTCATCGCCCTGTCTTTAAGTAACATGATTATATAATTGTAATATGTAATTTTTTTCTTTTAGTTTTCTCCCTTATTTCTGGGATCCTCTCTATGAAAGATCAGGATTCAGTTTTCTTTCATCTCTGTTCCCCTGCCATACTGAAGCTCCTCTTGTCCTCACCCCCAACTTCCCATTTAGAAGTATTTATAATTTTGGATGAACGTACTCAGATCATTATGACTGTGTAAATATGCTTCACAGCTGAGCCATGTGGTATACTATGATTACTTTTCCCTTCCTGCACACGTTTTTGCTCTCTCTGGAGTTACTAATTATCAGAGTCTTCTATATAACTATTACCAGTTTATTTTGACATGTTCTCCCATTCGTGTAAGTTTCTTCTTAGAATGTTTAGATGCATTGAGTACTTTAACAGTTGAAAGTCTTTTGTGGACCCTTCTGACCTGCTGTGATCTGGACAGTTTACCCTCCACACCTAAAGCATCACTGTCATCCTGATATTCTCTCTACTGTCATCTTGGGGAATTCTCTTTAGCTATTGAGTTGGATCCCTTTTTTCCTTGGGTCGTTCCCTTATTTTAGTGAAGCACATCCTCTAATAGCTTCCTGAGAAAAAGTGCAGGAGGGATAAATTTTTTTTTGAGACTTTGCGTGTCTAAAAATGTTTTAATTTACTGCTAAGATTTATGGTTCGGCTGAGTACAGACGTGTCGCATGACAATAATTTCCCTTTAGAATTTTGAAGCCTTTACTCCATTATGTCTTATTACTGTTGAGAAGTGCAGTGTTATTCTGATTCTTGTACTTTTGTCCAAAACTTGTTCCTTATCTTTGGAAGCTTTTTTGTCCTCGGTTTTCTTCTGTTTCATAGCATGTTTGGCTGTGTGTCTGTTTTTATCCATTGTGTATGGACTTGAGGGGCCCTTCTTATCTGAGAGCTCCTACCATCATTTTCTTCAGGTCAGGGACATTTTCTTGAATTTTGTTTTAATTTCCTCTATTTTCTTTCTTTTCTTCTTTAATGCCTTTATTTAGATATTGGACCTTTTACAGTGGTCCTCTTCTTTTCTCTTCAGTTTTTCATCTCTTTTTTGTAGAATCTTCTGAGAGATTATTTCCTCAACTTTATTTTCCAAGTTTTTTTCTTAGTTTTTTAATTTCTTCTATCATATTTTTACATATGAAGGTCTTTTTGTTTTTAGACTTTCTCTCTCTCATAGACTTTCTCTCTTTCTCCCCCTCTTTTTTAATAACATCCTGTTATTTTATGATTGTAATAGCTTAAGAGAAATACGATTTCGCTGAGGATTTTTTTTTTTTTTTTTTTTTTAGGGATTCTCTTCTTCCATAGTCTTCCCTTTCTCCAATTTGTTGGTACCTGTCTTTGTAGTAGGCCCTCCTCAAGCATCTACTGATTCCTGCTTTTCAGTGTTCCACTGGGAATTCTGTGTGCCCAGTGGGTCTTGTTTACTGTGGGCTTTGGGTATGTCTTGGCCTTGTTTATTGTGGGTGCTCTGGCTGGGCTGTTCTGGGGAATCCCGGATGTTAGTATTTTTAGGTCTGATCACATTGTGGAGAGAAAATGTAGCTTGCTGGTGTTCTTGGGCTGGGTTGGGGATCTCAACATTCCATATGTACACTATGATTTAAGCTTCCTGCCTGCCGGACAGTACCATTGTTTCCAACCGTGCCTCTTATCCCTCATGTAAGAGGCTCTATTTTTTATTCTTTCCTGAAAGTTTGCAATTTTCTGCTGGGTTGAATAGGGAGTCTGCGGGTGGGAGAGTGGATCTGACATCTATCTTAACTGCTTTGAAAACAGTCATATAAGGGATTCTCTTATTCTCAACCCACCTTTACTCATATTTCCAGAGGTATCAGGTATCATCAATCCCTAAGACTTTTAGGGGTAATGTAGAGAAAATTGGATATCTTTTTGGTTTTTCCCACTGTTAGCTTAGGATTCAGCTTTTTCTTTGGTCTATTAAGTCAGTTGCCACTTACTCATTTGTTTTCCAACTTTCAGCACTTCTCCGATTCTCTTTTTTCTAGTGGTTCATGTCTTTTTCTTCTTTTTTAATCTCTTAACTGTAGATTTAGTGTGATTTAGGGTGGGATTAGAGGAGGCTTCATTAAACCCCATCTATAGCCAGTAATCTCAGGCAGAAGATTTGCCTCATTATGTAGGTAACTATCCAGAGCTGATTTTATTTCAAGTTTGAGTTCACTTTTTAAATATTTCTTTTGCTTTCCTAGGTGCCGACCTTTACATTTTCAGCCTTCAAAATCTCACAAGAAGGTTTTGAAAAAAATGTTGAAATTTCTGGCTAAAGGGGAAATCTCCAAAGGAAATTGTGAGGGTAAGATGAGATGGGGTCATGAACTTTACTTTAAATTGATGTCTCTTTCCAAGGGTCCCACTTTCAGTTGTCTTGAGTTAGGTAGGGGAGGGAGTCATTACTACAATCATGTACTTCTGCTACTATGACAACGACCACTATTGGCACTGCTCTTACTGTTACTCTGGCCCCCAAATCCAAGGATATAGCAAATATATACCAAATATATACCAGGAGAGTCTATCTTGGGAAGAAAATTGAGGGTCATTTTAAAGATGTTGTGATTTCCTAGAGTTTCTTGAAATGTCAGTTTTCAAAGTGACATTTGAAACATTGACATTTGACATTTCAAAGTGACATTTTGACAACTCATCTTACTTGATTCTAATAATATCCTTATGAATTAAATAGAAAGTGGCATTATCTCTAGAGAAACAGATGCATACGTGCAGCTTACACGAGATGGTACGGCTGCTTCTAATGCTAAGTAAAGATCAGGTTTTCTGTGTTTGAGTAAGCTTTTACTTTGGTAAAGTATATTGTCTGAAATTTTCTTTCTCATTTGGCTGATAAATTTTGAATTATGAGTGACTTTCCTAAAAGATAATTAGTAGCATTTAATTAACTTTATTATTAACTTTTTTTAGAGATAGGATCTTGCTTTGTCATCTAGGCTGGAGTGCAGTGGTGTGATCATAACTCACTGCAGCCTTGAACCTCTGGGCTCAAGTGATCCTCCCTCCTCAGCCTCCCATGTAACTGGGACTACAGGTGCATACCACCATACCAGCTGATTTTTAAATTTTTTGTAGAGAAGAGGTCTCATTATGTTGCCCAGGATGGTCTTGAACTCCTGGCCTCAAGTGATCTTCCCACCTCAGCCTCCCAAAGTGCTGGGATTATAGGTGTAAGCCACCATGCCTGGCTAGTGTTTAACTAACTTTAGTTGCAGATGCTTTGCTTTTTCTGTTTTTTTGGTGCTTTTGCTTTTTTGTTTGTTTGTTTGTTTTTTTTACTTTTTCCTGTAAGAGTAACTAACTGCACATAAGTGAGCATAAGAATTGGGAATGCCACTCATTCTTAGAGCTGTTTCTCACAATTGCCATAGGAAATGCCTAATCCTGGGAATCTCCCTGCCCAGTCTTAGCTCATTAATTCATTCCTTTAGAAAGGACTAAACAGTTGTGACAAAGAGACACCAAAATGCAATGACTAAAAAAATGATAGAAGTTTGTTTCTCTCTTCATGTAACAGTCCAGTCTGGGTGTTCTAGGTCAGCCTGCAGCTCTGCTCCCCTCAGACATTCTGGGACTTTCTTCAACATGTGATTTCCTAGGTTGCTCTGGTTTTTACTTATCCAGCTATTGGGGAGGGGAAAGGGTGGAAATCCAGAGTCAAAAATGTCCTTTAAAATAAGTAGGGCAAAATTAGACATATTTGTGTTATATTCCAGTGGTGGGAGCTTGGTCACCACTTGAAAAGGGCCTGGCAGGGCATTCCACTGCTAGGGTGCCACAGACTTAAGTTCAGCTCTCTTGCTTTAGAAGATGGGAGAATGGATTTAGTGGACATACAGGAGTCCCTGCCACCATGGATAATAGGGGCATTGTATTCCTGCATTTATATTAATTGTGTCAAATTATCTGACTGATTGACTTCCATTTCTTCTGTTTTGTAGATGAGCCCATGGATTCTACAATGGATGATGCTGTTGCGGGTGACTTTGCGTTGATAAATAAATTGGACATACGGTGTGATCTCAAAACGCTTAGTGATGACCTCAAAGAGAGCTTTGAGAGTGAAGACATGAAAGGGAAAAACTCCAAGAAGGAAGAATCTAGTGAATTAATTCAGTCACAGGATGTAGAAGAGAAGTTGGGCTCTGGTGAACCATCGCATCTGGTTAAAGTTCATACAGTTCCTAAGCCAGGTAGTGAAAGTCTGATGCCAAGTCATATTAACTGCTTTTCTCTTTGCTTGAGTCATTGTAAACCCTGGGCCCTTCATCACCCAAAAAGATGAATTACTTATGCAATCTGTAAAATAGAACACTGTTTCATACAACTTACTATTATCTGGTTTTAGGTGGCCAAATCGTGTCTTTTTAAAACTACTTAAAAAGCCTGAAAAAGCCTTATCTCCACATTTTAAAAGAGTCGCATTTCTCCTTACTGCCTTGGGGCCTTAGACGTTTGAGAAACAAATTTTTGTCCTTTGGGCTTAGTTAGAAATTATGCAGGTCTACTAAAGTCTATTCAAATCACTTGGGGCTAATATGGAATTCCTGACTTGCTTTGAACCTCTGTGGAGGCAGGGTTGGTGTGGTGTATTGATTTTTCACTGATGATCTGTTTCCATTCTGTCGAAGGTATTTATGTATCCCCTAAATATGCTGAAATCCTAATTTCTTGTCCATTGTAGTTAGTAATGTGGTAGTATGTAGAGAAAAACATGATAAGGATTGCTTAGTCCAGTGAATTAATTAGTGTAAAGATGACATAGGTAGTCTTTTATAAAATTACAGAAAATTTGTGTTTCTCAGTTCATTCTCCATATTTTTTAAATTCATTAATTTTAAAACTTCGGTTAGGGCATGTAATTTTCAGTAACTATAGAAAATGCAGGGTTTTCTTTTTCTTATTACTGTTTATTGGACGCTTGTATAGGTAAAACATTTTAGGTATTGGTGATGCAAATAATAGCTAATAGTAATAGGTAACTCTAATTGAAAGGTAGATACTTTTTTAGAAGCTACACATGCATTAGTTCAATTTATCCTCACAGGAACTCTATAGGTAGGACTGGTTTTTGTCTTACTTGTACAGGCAAGGAAACTTGCCCAGTGTCATCTAGACAACTGACGGAGCTGGTCCATGACCTCAGGCAGCCTGTGTCAGAGTACCAGTTCTTAACTGTTGTGCCTCTCAGAACAAATTTGAGAAAAGACATAGTGCCTGGCCTACGAAAATTAATTCTATAAGGCAATAGAGTAATGATCAATTATAGAATTAGTTTTTTGTTACCTGGTTATTAGACTTAAAGTCTTTTTTAAATAGGTAAACTTTTAGTCAGAAACTTGTTAGTGAAGTAGTGATACGATTTCAATTATTTGTGAACTCACTATTTTCTCATCAGATTTGTTTCTTTTGATCAGTTCTTGGTCTCTGGCAAGTCCTTTAACCACTCTAGGTCTTAATTTTCTTCCCTCTAAAAACTGAATTTGTTAGTCATAAACCTTCATTTTGCTGACTTTTACATGATTTGTGAATACTGTGTTTTGAGATCGTGGAATAAATAGCTTATTTCTTTTATTCGTTAATAGCTTTTTTAAAAAAAAAAAGACTAAAACATTGTTAGAGAATTTGGAGAAAAGACAACACTGCAAAAAAAAGAAAAGGAAAATCCTTTCTTTCTAAATTCAAGTAAAATGACTATTAACATGGTGTCATTTCTCTCCAGGCATTTTTCTAAATATTTTTAATGTGTATATTTATACATAACTGGAATTATTTTTAAACATTTTATAGTGAGAAATCCTCTAAAGTTTCAAAGCATTAAAAATGGCTGTATGATATTCTGTTGCTTAGCTATTCTAAAAATTGTGTAAATATTCTATAATTGGGCATTTAGGTTATCTTGAGGCTTTGTTTGTATTCATCATTATTTGCCTTTATCTCTTGCGATTTTCTCAGGATGGATTTTTTGAAGAAGACTTACCAGAATAAATACTACTCATAAACATTTATACTTTGTAATAGTTAAAATTTTTGTATTTTAAAGGGCTGTTTGATATTTGATCTTTTAATTAGAACAAAATTCTGATTAACTAGAATTGAACAATGAGACCCAAATACCTGCAGTATTTGGAGAGAGACACAGATACAGTCAACTAACAAGGATTTTCTTTTTTTCATTAAAAAAACCTGCCAAAGTTTGTTCTGGGATCAGTACTCATTTATACCTGGTTCCTAAGTGTTTAATATTTATCGATGTCACCAATGTCTCTCAGAAATGTTGGCCAGCGATAGCATTGTCTTGAAGCAGAAGATATTTGATTATGTTCTTCCTACTTATAAAGGCAGAGAAGTGAATGAATATTTTAAGATTTTCAACAGTAAGAGCTACCTTAACAATTTTCCATGACTATTTACTTTTTTTTGGCCACTCATGCTTCTGAGGTAGAATTTTAAGATCAACTTTTAGAGCTTTATACCAGGATCCTCTGAAACATCCACCCCAAAGCTAGCCTAACTGTTGGAACTCTTTGGACTTACTCTATGGAATCTTTGAGACTCTTGAAAAAACATTTCTAGAGTCGAATGTGGTTGGTCTAATATTTTGAATTTCTTTTTAGGCAAAGGGGCTGATTTGAGTAAGCCTCCATGTCGAAAAGCAAAGGAAATCCGGAAAGAAAGGAAAAGGTTAAAACTCATGCAGCAAAACCCAGCTGGAGAACTCGAGGGCTTCCAGGCTCAGAGTCAGCCACCATTTTTGTTCCCACCAAAGGCTAAATCCAACCAGCCCAAATCACTTGAAGATTTAATTTTGGAATCTTTACCAGAGGATGCATCACACAAGTTAGAGGTACTTTGGAGGATTTTTGTTGTTTGTTTTATTTTTTGGTTTTTATGGGTACCTCATTTATTTTCATTGTAGGTAATACCGATCAGTTGACATTTTGCTAATTAAATGATGAGAAACTAAAGAGAATTGAGATGGAGTAGCATTTGCTAAGTTAACTGCTATGTTGGAGAGAAGTCTTTTTTTAAAAATATTTTTTGAAAATAGTTCAGGCAGTTGCCTGCTAAAGTTATGAAAACTATTTTTATTTTAGCATGTTATTTTATGCAGAGTGCTCTGGATTTTGTATCTCTTAAAATTTAGTAATTAAAGTGAAAAAGAAAAATACTCTTTAAAATTTCATTTTTGGCAGTTTGGATTTAGATAGCAAAAGAGAATCACACTAGGCAAATTACTGTTTTATCCATTATAATATTCTGATCTTGACCAAGGCAGCAAATGATGTTGCATATGTAAGGTAGCAGTTAGGAATTACCTAAATGGTGCTGAATTGTACTACTAAAATGCTCTCTCACTAATGCCCAAACCAATTTAGGCGTCATATGAGTACTTCCAGAGCCAAATTCCTTCCTTTTTTCCAAATTGGTTTACATTTCTAGATCAAATCTAGATTTCTCAGTTTTAGTTTTTCATATATAAAGTAGTTCTAAAACATTAACCATAATGATTTTCTCATACCTGATTAGTAATTGGTTAGCCTTCCAATTTATAGCTTACGGTCATCTGAGATATCATTTTTCACTAAAGACCGATACTAAAATTTAACTTGGATGCATTCTATACCTTAGGACGATATTATCAGACATATATTTTAACTTTTTATAACTCCTTGGCTACTCTGATTTTGATAGACTTTTTTCCTTCAAAAATTGTAAAGAGATTTGTACCCACTATATAAAATATTTTATGAATTCTTTTGATCATAAGTAGTGTATGCAGGGAGCCAAGCACACCTCACATAACAGATCCATGGTAATACATTTTACTTTTTTATTGTAATGATATCCGGGATGTATAAAGAGATTTGTTATCCACTGGGTGTCGCTCTTTCTTAACGGAAGACGTCTCATGGCACACACGAAAAGTTTTCAGTTATGCCTTCAAGTGTTGCATTTGATTTTCTGTTTTACTATTCTGTTTTGCTAACATTTTAAACTGGTTAGTAAATAATTAATGTTAAAATAAAAGCCATTACTGTGTGCAATTACTCTTTTAAACTCATCTTCATTTTACATACAAGTAAACTAAGGCACAGAGTGGTTATTTTTCTTGACTAGGATGGGGACATTAGAAGAGTTGAGCAAGGGAGATCTGACTTAGAGTCATAGTTCCTAGCTGTGCTATGAAATAGGAATACCTTGAGAGGGTTGTCTTTTGTACTTATAAAACTTGCAAGTTTAGAATTAGCAGTGATGAATGTAAGAGTGCAAAATATATGTTCATATTTTTAGTCTGACTGACTTAGCGATGGTGAGTTACATACAACTAAAATTAAAGGGTGTTTACTTGTGTTTGTGTCACAGTGCCAGAAGGATGCTGCCGGTTTACAGCAGAGGCAGGCTTATATAATTCAGTCATGAAAGCCGAGGCTTAGAATTTAGAGGGGATCCTCCTCTGCCTTCTTAATGAGTCTACAAGTTATAACTTTTTAATTTATTTGCTAACTGGTTGATTTTTAATGTCAAAATATTATGTTTATGCTTTAATATTTGTTTCAAAGCTTCTTTTTTTTGGGTGACAGGTACTGGTAATGCATATTCCATGGAATGAATGAATGAATTAATGAACATTGTTTTTTTAACTCCTTCTGAAGGTGAGGCTGGTGAGATCATCTCCACCAAGTTCTCAGTTCAAAGCCACATTTCAAGACTCTTACCAGGTCTATAAACGTTACCAGATGGTTATTCACAAGGACCCACCTGAAAAACCAAATGTGAGCCAGGTCAGCAGGCCAAGTGTAATTTTTCTGTACAAACAGAACTTTCCCTTCCATTTGATATCATGGTGTGAAATCTTGGTTTATTTGTGGTACATTTTATTTATGTTCAATTTGCAGCATATTTGCCAAGAGATAGGACTGTGAATTAATGGACATTCTGAAAGTGCAGATTTTACCTAGTGCCATAGTAAGTGCCCATTCATGTGTAATTTTTAGAGTGGAAAGCATGTAAAATTACCTTTATTTAAAGTCACTATGTTTAGATGCATTTAATAAATAGAGCTCTAAATTAAAATATGGTATTTTAATTTAAATATAAGGCAAAAAACTTTATTTTTATGGTAGGTATACTTTACCTAACACAGTTAATATGCTTTATTCATATTTAAAAGTCATATGCAGAAAGAGTTCATAATAGCTAAATTATTCTTATTTAATGTACTGCTATGCACAACTGAGTGGGACTAGAAAAGTAGATAGTAGAAATTTTTAATGGACCTCCTCATATACTTATAATTTTATAAATCAAATAACCCAAGAAAAATCTGGGAGGGAAAAAAGCTTAAAACACCTTTATAAGGAGAGGTGGCAAAAGTAGTGGCCATGACAACAGTTAGCAACAACATTGACTCTAGTGTATGCAGGGAACTACAATAGGCAGATAGAGAAATAAATAAAATCAAGCAAAAACAAATTGTCCCGGCTTTTATAAGATTTTCATAAGTTTTAGTATAAAGTTAGCACTTCAGGCTCTGTGCCAGCCATGCCATTCCAGGGTTTCTTCTTTTTATGACAAATTCCAATGCCGAGCTTTGGAAGTGGATTTGCGGAGATCTTACTCTAGCCTCACCTTCAGAAGCACATCATCAGTTAAAGATGTTTCAGTGGCATTTGCTTGTATTTTCCTTGCTCTGAAGGTGAGGTTAGTACCTGTCTCCTTTGAGGACCCAGAGTTCAAGTCGTCCTTCAGCCAGTCCTTTTCTTTATATGTCAAGTATCAAATGGCCATACACCAGGATCCGCCTGATGAATGTGGGAAGACTGAGGTACCGTTTATTGAATGTTTTTTCTGTGTTGATGAGGTTGTCTATGAAGAAGCATAATATATAACCTTCTTATGCAATTTTCTTGACTGTCAAGTAGAGCTGATGATCTTTTCACTGTGTATTACTGAACTTTTACGAAAATAAGTCATACACTTGAGCATTTTAAATCCTTAGAAAAAAAGGATTGCAAATTCAGGCTATGTTTTTATTCAGTGTTCTCTGCAGGAACCTGAATGTAGTACATTTGTATGTTCCGTCATGCAGCATAAGTCAGCATACATTTACCGAGTGCCCATTGTGTGCCAGACTGTGTGCCACAGAACAAAAGGAAGAGTCTCTGTCTTCAAGAAATTGATAATCAAAAGGGAAAGACAGACCATTAATAGGCAAAAATATCTTAAGAAATGAACGGAAAGGAAATATGTATACCTAACCTACCAAACATTGTAGCTTAGCCTGCCTTAACCGTGCTCGAAATGCTTAAATTGGCCTGTAGTTGGGCAAAATCACCTAACGCAAAGTCTGTTTTATAATAAAGTGTTGCATAATTCATGTTATTTTATTGAATGCTATGCTTAAAGTGAAAAACAGAACAATTTCGTACCATTGTAAGGTTGAACAGGCATTAAGTCAGAGACCGTATGTTGAGATTATTGTAGAGAGCATTATTTAACAAGCATTTGTTGAGGGCCTATCTTTCCTAGGCTGGGGATATTGAAATGAATGAGATGGTATAGTTGTCACAGTGGACCAGTGATGTGTTTAATATGACAGATACAGAAGAATTAGAGTTTTGATTTTTTTGTTTGCTTTTATTTTTTTTAATGACACAGGATGTGTAAGCTAAAAGGAGAGGATTAATAAGGCAGGAGTTAATTCTGCATGTTCCCTGAGAGAGGACTGACTTCCCAGGTCTCCCAGAGAATTCTAGCTTAAAGTATGGTCTGTGGCCGGGCACGGTGGCTCACGCCTGTAATCCTAGCACTCTGGGAGGCCGAGGCGGGCGGATCGTTCTGAGCTCAGGAGTTCGAGACCAGCCTGAGCAAGA